GGGGAGTAGCCACTGCACTCCAGTCTGGGCGACAGAGTAAGACTCCAACTCAAAAAAAAAAAAAGAAAAAAAAGAAATCTCCAAGTGCAGAGGAGGCCCTGGGTGAAAACACACCACAAAGTTATTTCTTTTTTTTTTTGAGTTGGAGTTTCTGTCACCCAGGCTGCAGTGCAGTGGCACACTCATGGCCACCGCAGCCTCGACCTGCTGGACTCAGGAGAGCCTTCCCCGTCAGCCTTCCAAGTAGCTGAAACTACAGATGCACGCCACCACGTCCGGCTAGTTTTTGTAATTTATTGTAGAGACGAGGTCTCACCAAGTTGCCCAGGCTGGCCTCGAACCCCCGTACTCAGGCAATCCTCTTGCCTCGGCCTCCCAAAGTGCTGGGATTACAGGCTGAGCCACCATGCCCGGCCACAGTTATTTCTAATAGTAAGCATAGCAACAAGTTCAGGGTCAAGTGACAGAGTATCCGTTAAGTGCACCGAGGCACACTGGTAGGCTGAAATATTATGCAGCTGGTGAACATTTTATTTATAATAGGTTTGTTCAACATGGAGAAATGCTTATGAGGGAATAGTTAAGTGGAAAAACAGGATGCAACATTGTAGATACAAGATAATCACTCTGTAAAGAGAACACCAGCAAATGATGTGGAAAAAAAGTGGAAGGTGATAAGATGAAATAGTGACTGTCTCTGGGGAGTGGTGACATTATGGGTGACTTTTTCCCTTCTTTATTTTCTCTCCGTCTTTCTAAGGTTTTTATACTGGGCAAACCACCATTTTGTACTTAAAAGAAAATAGAAAAGGGAAAACATAGTTCTGTTGGCGTAACTCCACCCTTCTCTGGGAGCAGGCTCAGGGTCACCTCCAGCCCCACCCTGGTCCCTCCCTCCTCCCTGTAGATGACGGCCTGCACTCGGGCTTCCCACTCCTCAACCCAGTCAAGGTCACCCTCCCAGACTAGGAAGGGGCCAAGACTTTCTCCGTCTCCCACAGGCAGGAGAGCATGGTGGGGAGGGAGAAGGGAAAGATGGCCGCTCCTGGGCTCACCTGGCCTGGGTGTGGACTCGGGTGGCCCCAGGGGAGCCCCCAGCTGGGTCACAGTGTGGTGGACAGAGCCGACCCTCAGGGTGCAGGTGGGAGCCCCCACACCCTCGTGTAGACTCTGAGCTAGAGGGGTCTGAGGCTGCCTCGATGGCCGCTCCTCAAACTCTGAGGCACTGTTAGAAACGCATAGTCCCAGGCCCAGTCCTGGAGGTGGCTTAGCCCTGGGGTGCAGGGGGCTCTCAGCCACGCTTTGGGAAGCCAGAATCCGGTCGAAGCCTAGAATGTTCCCTGCTCATCACTGGGTAATGCGGGAGAGTCTG